AGAGTTGTAGGTCTTTACACTAAAAAAAATTATAATAAATATGATATGATCTTAAGCGTTCATATGCAAGAATTTACTGCTAAGACTTAGATTTCAAAAATATTTGCGAGACCAATTGAATAGAGAAAAAAAAAGGAGGATTTGTCTGTTTGCTTTTTATCGCTTCTTACCCTATGTGTACCAGAGGCCACAGTCCACATAGTCTCCCCTAATACCACTCCCTATAAATAAAGAGACTTGCCTTAAGATACTTAAAAAAGTGCCCTTTTTTATCAATGTGCCCTTGGTTTTTTAATGTCCTCCTCACAATATTGATCCCACCACCAGATTCACAAGCTGTCTTCATTTTGTTATCTGCCAGTGCTTAAGAAAATATGGTGAACTCACATGAAATTATAGTGCAAAATGATGAAGTGTTAAACACTTTTAGATTAATTACATAAACCATTCATTTTAATTAAAGTATGATTCCGCAGGCAGAGGATTAAAAGAAACAATTTCTTAATATACTTAATGGCCTTGATTGCTTAAGTGCTGTCAAGAGAATAGAAAAATACATTATCAGATAATATTACAAAAGTACTACCAAGAGTATCAGTTTTTATTAAGTTAATAATTTTAGTTATGTACTGTATAAACAAAACAATATAATAATGAATTACTTTAAATATCATGAAGGCTGTTGTTTGCGATAAATTGCTTTATATGATTTCCATAAAAATGGATTTAATATGTATAAGTAAACAAAGCCAGCACAAATTCCAATTCTCATATCATGCCATTTAGTAAAAAACTAAATTCATATCTGCATTCAAAATTAGCAAGTTTCTGGGATTTTACTACTTTTGGTATCTCCACCCATCTTGGTGGTAAATCTATGGGAGTGTGGTTAAGGGTTACGTGAAGCTCATAGCCATGATCATTATCTATAAAGTGGAATGGTCCAACTCATTGAACATAAATGTTATTATCAGAATGGGAACCTAAACTAAAGATAAATACAACAGACATGGTGCTATCAATAAAACACCTTCTGTAGATTTTTTCACACTTCCTTCACTTTTAGGTTTTACCAATATTCATAGAGCTACACTTAATAATTTATGTTTAACACACATAAACTATTTTTTGTTTTATTTATAGGAGACCACTCTCTGATGGGGTTCAAATGCAATTTATTTATACAACTTAAACTCCTTGTGAGCTTATTATAAAAAAAAACTGTTGTTTATCATCAAAAATCATATTATTAACAACTTAAATTAAAAACAAATAGAAACAAAATTACCAATATCATTAATATTAAGTACCAAGGACCATTCAAAAAGTTCTGGCTTCCCTTTTCCGAAGTATTGGGGAAGTTTACATGGGATTAGCCAGGCAAATGCCACAATAAAGAAAACACAAAGTAACAAGGAGAGCACGAAACAAAATTTTCGTGACAAGGACATTGGTTCATCATCCAACCGTGTTTCCTCTTCATCTGCAAGTTTTTCATCTATTAAGGGCTTCTGAAGAATGTCGATTGAACCATTCTCTTTGATGCTTCTTGACTTCCAGGAATTGTGCTCTTCATCATCACTTTGGGTCTGAGAAACTGGCACATAATTTGCACTTTCTATTCCTTTCATAGTTGTCTGAAAATAAAAATAAAGCTGAACAACCACCTTCATAATCGTTCTCAGTTTTAGCTTTACAATATTTATATCTTAGAAAACTGAAACAGATAAACTGTCCCTTTCATCGCCAGTATTACCCACCAATTAATCATAGGTTTGGTTTAAGATGATTCAGAATTTCATGTTTCTCATCTAGAATGTTAAATATTTGAAAATAAATTATACTTGAAAGTTTCTAAAAATCTAATTTCAGTTTCATGAAAAACCGTACGCAGGGAAAACTGAAAAAAAAGGTTTATGAATACCCTTTATCTTGGAGTAGTTCGGTACTGGTGTATAAAGAGTGTAACCCTTCAGATAATTATTTTTCTATGTAAGTGTGACCATATTGTTATAGTGGTATATATATGAGTAATGGAGAAATTTCAAGGAAACTTACAATGCATGAGTATTATTTTTTCTGTAGTATATCAATATAACTATCTGCCACCATCAGTCAACTATTATCGTTGTTGTCTTACAAATAATTTCTTATGCTATGCATTGGAATCCGGTTTGCTAAGTACACCATAACGAAAGTATTGGTTTATTTACACCCTTACGCTGAAGAAGAATTGTTTGTGATAAACTTTAAACAGCTCATCACAAATGTAGAACTATTATATTTTTCTGGTTGTGTAAGATGCGAGAATATCATGAAAGCCTATTTAAAAATATCGAGTTTATCGAACTCATCATAAAAAAAAACGAGGAAAACGAATGAAGAAAAATCATAAAACGTAACCGTCTAATTTATAAATTGTTTTAAAAAAAATGTATTTCCTTTCATGATTTGTTTTTCACACAGTCACCTATTTTTTAGGATTCAAACAATGTCATATGTGGATAATTTTATGAGAACAAAATTATAACTAACCCACTGCAGTGTACGAGCAAGCATTTTCCTTTCTCTGGTGTGACAAAATGTGCATATACCTTTCGTAACAGCGCAGACATTTAGAATCACCATTTACAGTACTGCAGATAATTAGTCGAAATGCCTTCCCGGTGTAACATCTGTCATGAGTACGCGTGAAACCTGTTTTGTTTCAGCTTAAAGAACTTCACAGTGAAACTCAGCTGCGCCTTCTTGTTTGAAAGCAATAACATTTTTGTTCACCGTAACATTCATATACCGATGACACTGCCAGCGCTATTAGAGCCAAAGTGTCCCAATTCATTACTATAATGTTATATTTTTTAGCATGCAAGAGTAAAAAACAACATTAAACATAGTTGGTAGAATTTTTCTCTTAATCACTTTTATATACTTGACTATTTTGACTTAAAGTTATTTGCACGGTTTCATGAGCCGGGCGTGGCCTCCTGTCAGAGTGCTCGACTGTGAAACTAATAATCCATAGTTCACAATCTGTTCCCGTGGGGTAATTGAAAAAATTTTTTTCTTTTTTTCTTGGCTTCTAAATGTAAATTCGGAAGATCAAACAATTTACTAAATTGCTTAGTTTTCCGAAACTTTCAGATATAGGTGCATTTAGAGCACGTACAGACCTTTTAGTATAGGAAATCCACCTTGTGCAGTACCTGTACTGATATTATTTCGTGTGCTAGTTACACATAGTCAAGGAGTGTATTCAAACTGGATATTTTTTGAATTTTCTCACGGCCAATTTTGTTGGAAACCTAGTTTTGATATTGTATCTACTTTATCTACTGACATCGCCATGTTTAAGTTTAGAAATGTCTAGAGGCTGTGTCCTACTTATTTTCACCTACAGAATAACCAACATGGGTTGATCCAGAACTCCCAGTTTCCGATGGACTACCATACATAGATACCAATGTTTGGAAACAGAAGGATATACTTAACTGAATTGGGTTCATGTTCCTTACGTGGAGATATATTCATAATGTTAGGAAAACACGTAGGTTCAAGAAACCAATTTAACACAAAAATACGATACCCTATAACCCAGCGCTTTCGAAAGGTGTACCTTTCTTCTTCAGGGGCATAGATACCCATAGACCTAATAAAAAAAACGATTTTTTTCAAAAGGTTTCAAGGCCTGTGGAAGAATTTCCATTCCCATCTTAACAAAAAAATATTGATACGCACTTCACCAATGACGTGAATATAATATTATGCTCTCTCAGTATTTCGCATCCAGAATTCCTCCTGATAATATCTCTCAAAAGTCTGTTGTCTTCGACTTGTGTTGTGAATAAATATAGATTACTTTCACTTTGTTTTATATTGTCTTTAGTTTTTCTTCAACTCAAGTTATTACGAATATTCACGCAAAGCTACTCAAGGACTATGTGCGCTAGCCGCTCCAAATTTTAAACTGATAAGCTATAGGGAAGGTAGTTAGTCAATATTATTGCCAACTCCAGAGATATGTTAATAGTATAGTGGGATTGGACTGTCATTCTTATAACGCATCCATGGTCCCAAAGTGTGGAGCATGATTTTGCGGCTGTGGTATTCTCAGATGCTCTGATTGATCTCATAGGAAAAATAGTACCACAGTAACAGGAGATACGGCAGAAAATTTTATGCAGAGTTAAAATGAATTTCTTTGTTGACATAAACCTGTTTCGTTTAATTACTTATAAAACTTCGAACACTGTAATGTGTATAAGTAACAATAACCTCTAGCGTCATAGTTTATATCAAAATTATCTAAACAGTAATAATTTCACTTTAGATTTTGCGTTCTTGAAATGCGCGTGTGAGACTAATGTTTCTCTTTAAGTACATAATAAAATGTTGTAAAACTATAAATTCTACGAATTACTGATTAGTACATTAGTGACAAAATAAAATAAAAGAAACATGCAACACGCCAGGTTCGTGTTCGGTTCTTAGTGTGTAGCTTCCATGATGTAATATCCATGATTCGCGTTCCGCACTTTTGAGCCCTGGGTGTCTTATAAGAGTGACGGTCTTTGAATGAAGAAGAAAAAGACCAAAATGTTAAATATGATAACCTTATGGTAGCAGTTAAATTCGTACAAGAAGAATCATGGACAGCGAGGCCATTATTAGTTATGGTAACAGATGTTGATTTACCTAAATAAAAACGATAAAAGTGACTGTCACGAAAACACCCTCCAAGGTAAACTATTAAAGCTAAAGCGACAATACTAGAAATATATAAAACGGACTGGAGAAGTTTTCTGAAAAAAAGGATGTGAGGCAGTTAACAAAAGCAAAATATTATAAAAAAGATTATATGATGGTACGTATGTTTATAGTTAAGCGCAAAGCTGCATAATGAGCTATGTATATATATATATTTAAACGTTGAATAATTTAATATATAACAAATTAAACTTGAACATATTAATTACCAGGGGTTTTCCTAGTGTATAGTTGATCACAAATTTTGCACATGTAAAATAATTTTATAGTTGAAACTTCACCTATATAAGTAAGTTCAAGTGGATAAATATTACTTTAGACCAAAATCTAAGTTCAAATTGTGAAATTGTAGACTTCTCCAAGTTTATGTGAGGACCAGAGGGGGTGATACCCCCTTATTGGAAATGCGACCTTTGCCTTCCCTGTTCTGAAACCTATGCCTACAGGTTCGCAAGGTCCTGGATTATAGAAAGGTGTAGCTCTAAATACTGTACTTATTAGAATACAGCTTTTCAGGTTGCATTACAGACTCTGCCATTAGTTAAGTTGTTTTACCCCTTTTTTTTAAGACATTTATTGTTATTAATGCTTTTGGTTTCAAAATACACAGTCTTTTTTCAAACACACCGTATATTAAATTAGTTATGAGCCAAACTGGGTCACACACACACACAAAATGTAAACCAAAATACCGTTAACACTACAATTAATCTCATTAATTTCTCTTGGGATACACCCAGGTATTTTACATAAGAAACGAACGATTTCTCACAACTTTGATGTTTGTTTCCTTACAAAAAGTGTTGTAACAGATAAAAACGTACTGGATATATGATGTAATGCCAACCCCACCGGTAGTGTTGGTTTTGTTGTTGTTAAGCACACATCTACAAAATGGGCTATCTGTGTTCTGCTCACCACTGATATCGAAACCCGATATTTAGGGTAGTAAGTCTGCAGACTTGCCTCTGGGGAGGGGGAACCGAGTTTTATATTATTAATCATGTTGTTAATCATTGTGTATTAAATAGCACCTCCACAGTTTACGCAGTAAAAAAATATGATGCTCCCAGAAACAACAACAATGCAGTATCACAACCAATTTTATTAATAAGCCTATCTTATACAAGTATCTATGATACATAGGATTCAATCAATCCTTGTAACGAAGAGTTGACATGGTCTGGCTACACCATGTCAATTATAAATAGAGGAACTTTCTTTGATGATCATATATCATCAGGTCTCTGATACCGATACGAAATGTCTTAACAGTAGTACTTCTGACAAGGTAGATGCTTGTTTGTTATTTTTATAGACAAACAAAAAGAGAGAAAAGTCACAACTAGAGTAACCAGAGTGTTGTCGGGTTTAGTTGGTAAGTGATGTGCTGATTATGGAAGAGAAATAGGAATATTTTCAAAATATGGCTGGACAATGTAGGATGTCCGCTTAATAATATTGTTTGGCTCCTCTTTACTTAGTTAACTTTCTGCTTAAGAAGTGTATACACTAACCAAATATCAACTGCCTAGGATAACCTTAATTTCATGAAATTAAGAACGTGGACACAGGCACAAAAACAATATTTTAAAAAAAGAAAAGAACAATGACACATGTTTATTTCCCACTGGACTATAAACATAACTAAGACTGAGACAGATAGAATCATATGCACATAAAAAATTGTATAATGACCATTTTGTAATCCCATTGAATGGGCTGACGAGATGGGGGGGGGGGCAGTTGCCCCGGGACATGTTAAGGCGCCCGGCTGTGTGATATTCCAAAGCTTTCTAGAAATGCATACTACTTAATGAGCTAAAATGGCTACTGTTTTTTTGTTTTTTCATGATTTCATGAAGAAATTTTCACCTAAATTTCTTTTATGAAAAATCAGCAAAAGTTAATAAATGGAATGAAAGAGGGGCCGGATAATATTACAGACCCCGGGGCCTGGGCTGAAAAGCCGAGCTAAAAATCTAGGAAAACTAACTTTCCAGAAATTGTAACTAAACAATGTTACGTGAATACAGAGAAAGACAGTTTAAGGTGAAGAAAACATTAACCCTCATTGCTTTCTGCTCAGGAGTTTTATGAAACAACTGTCTGGATGATTTTTTTTTTGTAAATTTTATTAATACTATACTTACTGTGTATCAAATACACCAGTATAAATTAATTATCTCCTTCTGCATTATTTCTAAAACAACTATGCAGCCTAAACATCTGAATTGTTACAAAATATTTTAGGCACACGCTGCATTAGTAGAACGCTTCCCTTGACTTAAGATTTATTTAGAAGTTTAAGAAACTATTTGAGCGATATAAAAGTGCAAGTTACGTTAGAACAATCAGATGATTGGTTGATTCGTGGATATGTTACCGTGATAGACTGATTGATGAGTTAACTAGTTTCTTAGTCAGTTTGTCTGTTACTTTAGGTTTATGAATATTGAGTTTTTGTTTCGACAAAGAAAATAGTGACACGCAAACGTTCTGTACTTACGAAAGAAATAAACAAAAATACTGATTTTATTGTATTAGCGTCTAATGTGAACTTAGACATATCAGCGAAAATCAGTTTAGGCTAACTCGAAGAACTTGTAGTGACAGAAATTGAACGCTTTCGTTATCATCAAGTGAGCTGGACTGTGCATTTTTTTTTATCCAATAATAAAAAAGAAACCGTTACAACAACACGTAAAAAGGTTTACAGAAAGAGAGTTGTATTGTATAAGTCAAAAATAAACTACTTTGTATGTTTAGTGCGAGCATGGGCATCCGCAGGGGGTGGGCAAGAGGGGCACTTGTCTGTTACTTCAGTTTTGTGAATATCGAATTTATGTATCGACCGTAATATAAAAAGTATCACGCGTACGACAGAGGTTAGCAAACTGGTGAAATTATTGAAAGGGAGAGAATGTGTAGTGATGGGTTTCAATCCTGCAACCCACAGACTGCAAGTCGAGCGCCCTAACCACCAGGCCACAAATTTATCAAGTGGAAAGGATAAAATCTATAATTATAACAAATATTTCACATAAAACACGTTTTTCTTCAGAATACAAATTTCCAACACAAAAATAATATAACTAGTATTAAAGCTACACAGTATAGTAATATTTGATTCAGCAAGACATGCATATTAACATTAAAAGAAACAAAAAAACACATGTCCAGATAAATAGGGTCAGAAATATATTATACTTAATTCTAAATTTCGTATTCATCATATTAGTTAATTAGTTTAAACATTAAATATTACATGGGTAGTATTATTTCTAAAACGCCAGCGAAAATTAAATATTGGTTTTCTTTTAGTTGGCCAGGAAGTATAAAAAGAATGCTCAGGCAAAGTGTGGTATCAAGGTAATATGCCACGAGTGTATTCAGAACCACGAAGCACCGACTCAAAGTTGTTGTTTTTTTATATTTTTGATATGCCACAGAAAACATGTCCAAATTACTTTCGTAATGAAAAAATATCAATATTATATACATACATACATATATAATTTAAAAACCACTTTTGACACCATAAATTCATCGTTATAAAGAAATATTTTGAAAACTCGTTAGTTTTAGAAATAAAGGTTAAAAAATAATCAGGATAGTTGCTTACTTCAGGTTTTTTTTTTGAAGTCAATCGTCGTGGGTTAAGCAGTTTGTAATGTGATGCACGATCTCCACCTTATGTATAGACAAAAGTAAAATGATCTCTACAGACTAACGCTTTATGTAGGTGTATGTACAACTGTTTGGAAATGAAAGTCTTGATCGTTCAGCCAGAAAACTTTTATCTGCACAATATTAGTTTTACGAAGACCACGTGTCCTGTACTCTCGATGACGATACATCAGAACTATGCAGATGTAACAAGGCAACATTCATTCAAGGTACACAGACGTTATACATATGATAAATACAGTTTAATTACCAGCTTGTACTGCCATGTGTGCAACTGATGTTAAGTATATGCACAGTAAGCCTATCAAAATGTTCAACGCAAGTTGTTGTAAAATAAAAAAATAAACAAAGAATAAACGTTCAGAATTGGGCTCAGCAATGAGCCTATGCCTACATCAATTTTTGTTTTCTTCTTTATCTGAAGTAGGTTTGATTCGTTTCACATTTCACTCAAAGCTACACGAGGGCCATCTGCGCTAGCCGTCCATAACTTAGCAGTGATAAACTAGAACAGGGGTGTGAAAAGAGGGTCCGGGGTCCGTTCCCCCCTAAATATTCAATGAACACAAAACGTTGGGAACCACTGGACCAAAAGAAAGCAGCTAGTCAGCACTACCCACCTGCAACTCTTGGGCTATTCTTTTAACAACGAACAGTGGGATTGACCACAACATTATAACGTCCCAAGTTTGAATGGGCGAGTATGTTTGGTGGGACTGGAATTCGAACCCGCGACCCTCAGACCTGACCATGGCAAATGATAGGATTACTAGTTTGTTATCAATTTCGCGCAAAGCTACACGAGGGCTATCTGCGCCAGCCGTCCCTAATTTAGCAGTGTAAGACTAGTCATCACCACCCACCGCCAACTCTTGAGCTACTCTTTTGCCAATGACCGTCACATTATAAAGCCCTCACGGCTGAAAGGGCGAGCATGTTTGGTGTGACGGGGATCCGAACCAGCGACCCGCAGATTGCGAGTCGAGCGCCCTAACCACCTGGCCATGGAACATTTGCCATTGTTTTTATAGTAATCAACTGAGCTTAAAATAAATAATAAAACCAGTTAACTCAAATTGTGGTGTTTCATAAAATTTAGAATTAATACAATACTAAAATGTTTATTTGTAAGCATTTGATGAAACTTTCACAAACGTTCTTTCATTCATACCTACATGTACTGATTATTGAAAAAACGTAAATATCTCTTAAGGAAAAAAACATTGGACTTTTGACATTATAAATAATTAAATTTAGAAAAGATTTAATTGTCATGTTTCGGCCTTTTTGTTTATTTCAACTCTTATCATGTTCTAATTCCACTCTTGAAGTGTAAAGACAAAACAAAAACGCTTTATTAACAGTTATCTATCAGTTTCACTAACTGTTCCTTTATGATCGAGTTCCAAGTAATAATGATAATAAAACAAAACACTTTATGTGTTCAACACTGTAACTTCAAATTTAATCTGTTGGTGTTCAGAATTGTGTTACAGTTCTCGTTAGAACCATCATGTTTATCGTTTTTTGCCTCGTGCAAGAAGGATATCAACTATATCACAACTTCAAGTCTACTCCGTTATTGATGTACCTGTAAACCTCCTTATGAGTGCTTAATCAAATTATACGTCGTCTCAAAATAATTCAGCAGGATATAGTATTTAGGTGTGACTGTGTTAGTTGATAGAACATAGTTTTATGAAATTCTGGTGCTCTCAATTAACCTCTAAGGTAGTTTCAAAAGTCGATGTATTAAAATTTTGGCAGAAGCATTTTATAATATGGAAACTTTTAGAAGACAAAGCTACGTTTTTTCTTTTCCTTCTTCATAAAAAGTCTTTATTAAAGGCAATGAATAAATGATAAACCGAAGTATGGTTATCTAAGCCATGACGAATAGACTATTACTATGCCTTTTAATTTAATGCCTTCCACATTTTGGTTGTTCAGTAGAGATGACTGTAATTTTTCATATTTTGTTTTCTTTTTTTCTGTTGATGATACAAAAACATGGAAAATCTATAACTTGCTACATGAAGACAGTTTACACCACCAAAATTTCTAACGTATTATGTTTACATGCGACTCCTTGTAGAAGTTCTAAACAACTGTCTACAGTTTTTGTTATCGCTTCTATTATAAATTATTCTATATTTATTATAGTTGACCCTCATCTTTTTGGCTAAAAGGGTATTTAATGAGACCATAAACTGCTGGTTCTCCAGTAGTAGACGACACCTACCGGTATATTAATGACATACATTTTACATACTTCATTTACTTCAACGTTTTAAGTTTGTAAAAAATAAAATAGCGAGAATAACCTGTTAGTTGGGTATAAAATTTATTCAAAATATGTTTTAATTGTTTTTATAACTTCATTCCTAATATGAATATTCCAAAAATTCGTGTAAAATAACAAGGAGATCGAAATTTATTGATCACTTCTGATAGAAATAACTTACCACGCTAAAATCCGGGATTCGATTCCCCGCGGCGGACATAGCAGACAGACCAATGCGACTTAGCTCTAAAACGGACAAGTTTCTGTGACTTTATACGCATTTCGCAAAAAGTTGGACATAACATAAACCTTGCAATTTTTTTCAAACTTACCACTTTTACGAAACGTTCAACAATTTTTATTCGATATCGTTTCATACATGATAAAACCATTAACTAACAGCCAAAAATAACGTTAACAGCGAGGATACCCAACTGATAAGACAACACAAACGGCATTTAATTACCTCTACTCATTACCAGGCTGATTTTTTTTTTCATCTAAAAGTAGACAGTTGGATCTGATAGGAAGTTAATATTCATTAATTAATAATAAACTAAAAACAACTAACCTTTTATATAAATCTTCTCCCTGCTCCTATTGTTTCTTACTTTTGTGAATAGCAACAGTTTATCGGCTTGCAAAACAAGTACTTTCCACAAAAACGTCAAGTCATACAAATGTGATATAAACGCGTTTATTCTATTGTCACATTTCTGTACTTTGAACCACGAATGTCATCAATACGTTAGCACGTGTTCATAGCATCTTGTACAGTAACAATTCAAACGATGACCACTTTCTGTGACACAATGCAAACGGAGTACGTTTAAGATAATCATACTACACTTTGCAAGCCCATAAGCATAAAGGGGGGAGGGGTTCTAATTTGTGGATTAAAAGGCAACACATATTGTGCGAAACACAATCAGCATGCAAAGAGTGCTAATGCTAAGGGGGTATGCCCTCACTCAGAAAATTTGCAACAAAAAAAGTGTGCTACGAGATTAAATCCGGAAGCAATTTTTGCATGAAATATAGCTTACATAATCGCGTGGTTGATCACATAAAATCCACAAACATCCAATGAAAAGTCAACAAATCATCATTCTGTTGTAACACTGCATGGGCAGTTAAAATCAAATTAGCATAAATATTTACGCTTTATTATAGTAACGTACTGTACTATCTACATGTAGAGTAGTTATTAATCGTTAAATTATATTACTAATTTAAACAACTCCGTAAAACAATAGTATATTAGCTATTTCAATCATTCGCTATCATGTACGTACACGTGTGCATGCTCCATTATTTTGGGGTGCTTTTCCATAACTAACTTGCATACAGTTTTAATGTTGATAGCAGTGTCATAATGATTCTGTATTAAAGCTAGAACACTCAAGTCTTTTTTTCGGTTTGTGTACACCTTATTATTCAATCGGCGGAGAGCAGATGCCGAACATTCACATGGACAGTGTGGCAAATAGTTTCAGTAACATAAAGATATTTTAAATTGTGTTCTAAAGTAACTGAACCAGCCAGTGTGGACTTTGACGAAAAAAAAAAAGAGAAACTTGCCAACAGTGTAACGCACATTTGTATATACGTTTGACTTGTTTCAATATATTACTTTAAAACAAGTGGACTGCTTTGCTGTTTGTTTATGGTTGAAATTTATCGCTAACAAGTCACAAACGCCTGCTGTACAAAACCTGACCGTAGCAATACGGTCTTGATTTCCAATTACAAAGTGTCAACAGGAGCCACTGCATGCGACTATTTCAAAACAAAACATACTAATGCTTCATCAGAAGAATGTAGACAATGTTAAATACTATAAGCAGCCACGCTATAACTGTATAACCACAATTTTTTTTTACATAATCAAAATGGGTGGTTCGGTTGAACAGCCCTGCATGCTTAGTTGATACCAAAACATGCGAGAACGTTGCATTGTACCGTTTAAGGATCACATTTCGCTGCGTCATACTAATTTAAACGAGTGTGGATTTGTTAGAGAAATCAAAGACTGCAAAGGTTATCATTAATTCCATTATTATGCCAACATATTTATGATTACGTTACACAAATAAAGGCAGCATTTCAACATTGTAATGTTTTCAGTTCTGTTGGAATACACGATACTTATTCACATTCTGGAGTTAGTTCATATTCTTCTGTATGGAATCACCCACCTCCAATTACGGTTAACTTATTTTATTTAACTTGGTAGGGAATTGGGTTTAAGCCGTTTGACTCTGAACTCAGGGTCAAAGCAAACCGGGGGTGTTCAGAAAGTAATTTATATTCACCCCCACTCTTATGCAAGGATTACAATGAGGGATCTTGTGAAAAAAAATTAACCTATCGTTTTTTGAAAATAAATTGCTTGTTTGTTTTAGCACAAAACTACGCAACAGACTTTCTACGCTTTCTACAGCGAGGAATCGAACTCCGGATTCTAGCGTTAACTTACCGCTATCCCACTGAAGGACCTTGGAACTTGTGATTGCAGCTTTTCCAGTAATAATTATGAAGCTTTTATCTTTAAATCGGTAAAATATTGCTTAACCGTATCACGTTTGTATGGATAAAGCCTTTCTTTGAGCAACATAATTTTTTTGTTGAATTTCGTGCAGAGCTACTCATAGGGTATCTGCGCTAGTCGTCTCTAATTTTGAAGTGATAGACTAGAGGGAAGGCAGCTAATCGACACCACCCAACGCTAATTCTTGGTCTACTCTTTGTCAACGAACAGTGAAATTGATCGTCACGGTGCAACACACTAATGGTTGAAATGGTACGTAATATTCAAGAAATGATATTTCTAAACTTATTTGAGAACCTTTATTCAACAATTTTGTAAAAAAAAACCTATACCAAACTAACCATTTCCCACATGATTCAAAGCAATTAGTTCATTTTATAAGCAATTCGGTAATTCTTCTTTATAGACAAGAAAAACTTGAGCATGCATTCTTTGTAATTTTTTCTCAGTAGAAATCGTTAGTTTAGGAACTTGTTTGCTACTAATGAAACCAAATGGCTTCAGTTAGCAAGATCTGTTTGAGTTATTCGGTTTTGTTTAAGTACGAGTTGAAAAACAAAAACTATTACAGCGATTACCGCTAAGACACGGTGGGGCACAAAATAATCTATAAAGTTTTATTTCACGCGCACACGTTTCATTTGCGTAAAATTATAGTTTTTATAGCATTGTTTTTTGAATGATTTTATTTTATTCAGAAAACCACAAATTTAAGAAAAACCTTACACTCTGACAGTTTAGATCGAAGTGAGATGCTCAGAGATTTCTCTACGTTCTGCAACGTTTTGTTTAAGACGTGAAATTAAAAAATACTTTTATCCGAAACTACAGTGTTTAAAGAAAATATAGCATAAACCTAGTATTTTTAGAGAAATTATCAAAACTAAAAGGATGCAGTAAATCGAGAACAAAACAAAAACTTAAAGGAGTTTACTTTCTGAACTGAATAAGAAATTATATAGGACTTAAAACTATATGTTAGCGTCACACATACAGGAATTTGCACAGAAATGCTGAATATTACACTTTCTTTCTATATTTCTCTTTTTTTTTTACAACACAGAACTTACACTGTTCCATAAGATACAAAGGTCGTAAGATTAGATAGACACCGTCTTAAAGGAGCTGTGACAAACTTTAGAGTAACAACATTTCAGGAAATTTAAAGAAATGATTTATACTAACTCATCAATAACTAAAGATACAAATATATAATTTCATTATTTTTCTTGTGGTCTTTATAACCACATTATCAGCATCTTGATGGTTTCTACTCCACTGTTTATCAGACAATTAAAGTTGTACATTTGATGATCATTAACCGTCAACTCTTTTTAAATGTATGATATCGATTAGTTATGCTGCTAGGTGCTATTAAATAATGTTTGTTGTTGTTTTTCATTCTCAGTGATAACTCTCATTTCAAAGCAATGAAAAACAATAACTTGGAAAATTATCAACTGTATCCCGCTTAAGTGTCAAGCCACTACTGCTAATCACGTTGAGTATATATGGTGAAAGGAAGCAAGTGTTATTTATATTGAAACAAAGACGTCTGTGACACAAGTTCTTTCAGAATTGCTACTTGTAGCGACATACTCCTGAAATATTACGTGTTAGTTTGCTATACTAAGTTCTGTATGAAAAACTTTCTCAGCAATTCCCATAATTTTATGCAAACTATATCAGATGAACTATATCTTTTACACTTACCACAGAACAATATTGGGATTTTGATACCAAAGCTTCTTTATAGATTTCACATCGAATATTTCCATTAAAACGCAAACATGTTTGTAACACCATTTTCTGTAAATATTGATAAACTATCAATCCTACTCTGTGACTTTAATCCACAGTTGTACTTATTACTTCATATTGGTTGTAAGCATGAGTGTGCATTAACATTTTCATCTGAAGCTACTGTATGTAATGTTACATCATAGAGTTTCTTCAAAGCTACATCCAATAAATTTGTTTCATCTCAATCATATTACCATTTTGACTAGGTTCAACATCACAACTCCTTAAAAACTGCCAATGTTAATGACAGTTATCACTAACCGCACAGGCTTGTAATAACTACACCAGAGTGAATTTAAACAATCCTGGATACATTTGTATGTTAAACAAAAGGGAATCCTCAATAACCATGGCTGTAATTAGATCTTAAATTAGTCAAGAGATGAAGCTATGAGCTAAAAGTTTGTACTTGAAAAAAACAAACAAACTATGAGCCACTATGCCATGGCTAAAAATACTTTAAAAGGGCTGGTTTCATTTAACATGCTCTTATTATACAGAAGAGAGAGAGAGAAAAAAAAGCGGTAGTGAAAATTAAACATCAGCCTAAGAAATTTCCATGTCCTTCAATCAATAAAAGTACCAGAATGGATTTTTAAAAATGCAATATAATTTCACATTTGTTTGTTTTTTTGTTAAAACTGTTATGATGACCAATTACACTGATTTGCAAAAGAAACTGGCCTGTAATAAGTCTTTTATTATGTCACTAGTTATAATACTCACTTTATTGTACAGTGTAAAAAAAAAATCAAACTTTAGTTCAATAATTAAAAAGTTAGAATCCACCAAGTAAATTAGTACAGTAATACACATACTGGGAATATTAATTAAATATTACACCATATTCCTTCTGGAAAGCTGTTCATTGCTCGTCATTACCAGTTCATAACATCTTAAACTTAACAGGAAGTTGAGTCTATAAAAGTTTCCAATCCACTATTCTTCATAACTTCCAGCTCATTTTGGTTTTTAAGGCTTTAAAACTTTAATACACCTGAGGAAGGGTGGTCTGTCCAGAAACACATGGTGATAGAAACTTAAGTTTCTAAGTGATATAAATACTAAGCTGTGTCATCTAAATAAGTTATAAGCTAACACTAATCATTCCATCTCATAATGTCTTAAAAGTTAGTTCAAAGCTGTATGGAAGTTTGTATTCAATACTCTTGGGCATCCAATTACTTTTAAGATCACTCAGCTAAATCAGTTTAGTACTCAGCTATCATTACAGCAAGCAGTTCAAATGCCCAAAGGTTTATTTGATAAATTGTATCATTAAAAAACAAATTTATATACATATATATATATAATGGTGAATACATGCAAATAGTTTCAATTCTAAATTGTTCATTTATGTATGTCTTTTAATCATATCCCTTAATTTTAACTTTTAAGACAAGTTTGTGCATTTATATGTAGTCTGTTTCAAAAAAAAAAGAAGCAAATTTTGTCTTACCGATGAGCACACATACTCATTGTATAAATATCATACTGTCTACATGTACATTTTTGGCAAATGGTAGTTTGTTTGTGGATTGTTACTAAATATTACCATTACCACCATCAGGAGTTTTAGGTCACATTCTTTATTTCGACTTGAAATTTAAAACAAAGTGCAGTAAGCATTTCTTCTCCGACTGGAATAATATATACAATCTTAGTTTATATTTCTTCCTAGTGCATTCTACTGCTGTAAATGAAGTCCTCAGGTTAAAGAGGAATACCATATCTTTCAGGTTAGTGTACAAAACTTGAAAAATTGTGGTTATACCAATAGTAAAAATAAAGCTTGTCACTATTCAGACACACACACATATATATATCAGTAAATGTATATACACGTGTTGATTTTCCAACTAAAAGATAATTTTCTATATTACTTTATTTTGCTAGAATACTAAACAATAAATATGTTTGCATTTCATTGATTACAATTGTAACACCTAATACATTAATGTTTATGATGTTAGAAAAACAGGTAGGTTCAAGAAGTCTTGGCAGAAATGAATAAAAACCCTATAACCTGAGCGCTTTTGAAAGGTGGACCTTTCTTCTTCTGTAATTTTTTATACCTAAAAATCCCTCACTCACTACTGTATTCACACTGCACTGAATGTTCATACCTTTACAAACGGTTATACTCCTACAATATTTACATGTACACTTTGTACATGCAATACCACAAGGTTCTGGTTTTTTGTAGTAAATAGTTTAGTTACATAAAATGCTATGTACAAACATCTCTATTATTAAAAATGTTCAGTAGAGTATTATCTGATTTTTTGTAAATTTAGGAGTTATCTACTGATATATATAAGGAACAGACAATGTAGGAGAAAAAAAAGGAAACAAATAAGCTGTATATTTGCCATAAAATCAAATTAACTGTTAATCATCTGTTAACTTCTAACTTCTAGTTATGATATTAAGTCTTACAATAAACAATCATCAAGAAAAATATCTACCTTCACCAGGCATACTGGAAGTCAAAACCTGCAAGGTTTTTCAAACTTGTTACCAGAACTTGCTTAAATATGACTAAACATTAGTGCCTTAAATCCCACTTACAAAGATAACATCAAACTGAGGAACAAAAGCAGAGTGGCCACTGATAATAAAAACTAATTACTGAAAACTTTTTTAGAAATGTTTCTACTAGAAATTATTACATAACTATGGAACTGTCCAGTAATTTCATAAAAATATCTAGATAGAGTTGAACTTATGATAAAATATGGCCCCTTTTTGACATATACAAATAATTTATAAGCCCACTAACTATTCAAACTATTAACAGTTGGACTGTTATAAAAAATACTTCCTCATTATATATTTTATACCACCAATTTAAATATCTATGCAACATCCATTGCTAAAATGTGAGTTGTCAACAGGTAGCAGAGAATCTAAATCTTTTAATCAGATTACTAAAACATTTATTGCAGTAGACAGCGATGTTGTTGTCATATGGGATCAACATGGTAACTGTAAGAGATGTTTTTTACAATGTTATAATTTTTGGTACAATTTCACAAAATAGTATAAACCAAAATAAGAGAGCTGATTTGGATGATATTCACTAATTACTAATAAGTGGCACAACTCTTCTATAAATATACCAGAACTTTACACAAATTGCATCTTAATTTATGCAAGATATAAGGAATCTTATGGTTTACAAATTAATACGCAGCCAAACAAATCTGTGTAACTCTAGTAAAAAAAACATAGAAATAAAATTTATGAAATGTCGGTTTCCTACAAAGTGAAATTTGTTAGCATTGAGATTTCCTATGAATTATTTTTTTATTTAGGGTTCAGTAAGGAAACAATTTCCAACCACAAATGGTCCTATGTTACCTTTCTTAATATTAATTTACCTTTGCCAAATTCACTCAGTTAAATTAGAAATGTAAAATAAAAATTCATTATGATAAGCTGAACTTTCTAGTAGAATGTGTACTGTAAGCAGCAAATTTTTCTCCTTTTTTCAGTAATTTAAGAAGAAAATATTAAACTCTGTAAACAGATGTTATTAAACATTTAGACTGATATATAATTGTCTTTATGAGTCACAATTGTTATACTCTTTCTGTAGAACAAAAATATGTGATAGATATTGGTGCAAATATATATAAACTTCTACAATTATACGAAAAAACGATCAAGTATTATTTTCCAATAACTGTCATTAGCGTAATACTATTAAGACAAGTTTTTCTTTCAGTAGTAAATCTAATGATGACCATGAAGAAGAAGAAGAAGAAACTTAGTTTTATGTAATAGAATACATTAGTACACCACTGAAGATCAATACTTAACATCAAGTAGCTTCAAAAACAAGGTCTTGAACTAGTTTTTACAATTAGAACATTTTTGCACAAATTCATAACATTTTATATAGCTTAACTACAGAAGTGAAGAACACTTGCATTCTAAAACATATACAGTCAAATGGAGTTCATTGTATCTATACAGAATATTTTAACACAACTATTTATTATAATATTTTGCTTCCAGGTCAAACTTTTTTTTTTACTCTATTGTACTAGTGTTTCAATCCCACTCCTAATATATTAGTATCTACTAGTGTCACAAAGATATTTGTAAAATCTATGTAATTTATTTCAGAGGAATTTTAATTTGAAATGTAATTAACACAATGATCTTAAAGAAGTCTTTAAACCTGAAATTAAGTTACTTCAAATAAAAATAATGTTTTGCATAAACCAAAAATTATTTTCGAGTATTTGTGTAGTAAAGTTATTTTTTTTTTTGGAACAACCAAGACACTTGTGAACAAGTGTCATTCATAGCACCCTGTTAACCCATAGAACATATACGTATCCAATGCCACAACAAGTCATCACAATTACCCTAATCCATATTTATGTTTCATTAAGAATTAAAAACCACTTACTTTTATTTGTAAAAACATCACTAGAAAAAACCAACACACCCTCTGTAACATATTGACAAGCAGTCTAATTTTTCATTGATTAAAAGGCACCTCAACATTAAACTAATGTTTTTAATATGGCTAAAACTGGAATAAAAGTAATAAGCATATTTAAGAATGATTTACCCAGAATCATAAAAATTTGAAAAATCTAAATACCAAATGAATACTTTGAAGTTAGAGGAACAAATTTTATTATTACTATACACAAGGGTATACACAGGTTTATTTGTTTCAAAAATTCATACAAACTACACAAGGCGTATCTGCACTAGCCATCCCAAATTTTGAAATGACAGACTAGAGGGAAGGCTGCTAGTCAATAGCATCCACTGTAAAATCTTAGGTCACTCTAATAAAATAATGGAATTTAACTAACTTTTATAATAGATCCAATGTCCAAAGTGTTGAGTGCATTTTTATGGCAAATGACTCCAAGATTCACAATCTTGCACACTAACCACTGGGCCAAACTCAGACGGTATACATGATAAACATGTTTCGTAAGTAAACTATATCATTTTTAGAATAACATTTTCTTCTTTAATAAGGAAAAATGTAAGAAGTAGTAACAAACAGAAAAACACACATACACACTTAGTTCTTAATTAATGATATGTAATCCAAAAGCAAGTATATTGAGTACATTAGACAGCTACGTTAGGAAAGCTGTAGTAACGATTGTTTAAAGTTAAGCACAAAGTTACACAATGGATTATCTGTGCTGTTCCCACCATGGGTATCAAAATCTGATTTCTAGCATTGTAAGTCCACAGATATACCACTGTGCCACTGGGGGGCAGCTGTAATATCGAAGTCACAAAAAGCCTGGTATAATGCCATTACAGGAGGCTGCACTCACAAAAGGAAAACAAAAAAAATGAGAGAGAAAAAGAACTGTGCATTGAGGGTAGTTTTGAATTAACTAGTACAAAATGGTACAAAATATAAAAAATTAAATTGACATAGCTCAATGTAAGAGTACATAAAAGTATATGTACTGATCCCATAAGGAATGTATAAATGCTAGGTTGGTTGTAATAAAGTTTATTTTTAAAATATTGTATGATAATGGCATTCAAAACTGTTGTTAGTTTCATAAATATATATATATACAGAGCATAACTAATTAGGGTTATCATGAAAGAATTTCTGTTTGTCTTGAAATACTTCACTCATTGAGTTTCAATTTAATCTTATGTCACAGAATTGGAATTTAAGGATAAATTACAAAACAGAATTCAACTATTAATTTGTTTTATGTTATATGATATTTAAGACATGTGGATAACAGTTACACATACATATATAAAATCATCTTCAATTCTGTAGTTACATACAAGTACATGGTGGAAATATATACCTTTTTGTAATACTTGGGAAATTTACGATTTTCCCTAACAGTTTATTTGCACATTAAGTAGTTATTAAAAAGCAAATTTCTCAAACTGTTTATAAGCACATTATTCTATACATATAATACATTATTTGTAGCTAGTCTGAACCTATGGGTCAGCAAATACTGACTAGTTAGAGGAAGTTTATCCTCTGCTGATACCGGGACTATATATATATAAAGTAATAAAAAATACTATGAATCTTCGAATAAAGCTCAATCATTCACACAATAGTTTTAATAAATGATCTCAAACTCAATAAACTGTAGGAAAACTATTAAAATCAAATGTGGAACTTTCACAAAAAATCAGCAACACTATAAGCAAATAACTAATTATATCTACTCAGACTAAGATGTACAAAACAGAGAATCTATATAAATAACATGCTTGCATTTGTCTGTCCGGAACTTTTCTTGCAAATTTCTGGATCAAAAGCTACAAATCTCACATCATTAGAAAGGCCTTTGTCCAAGAAGTCCACATCGCTTATTGTTTTTTAACTCAGAATCATATCACCTGTTTTTTGCTTAGTCACACTTTTTAATACAATAAATATGGTACACGATGACACAATGTTGTTATCATCAAATGATGACTGGCTTCAATTTCAACTTTAGTCTTTTTATTTGCAAAGTATTTCACACAATACTTAACTCGCATATAATTTCCTAAAAAAGAATGAACATTACACTAAATACAATTTCTATGGTTTCTTGATTTATTTCAGTCTAAAATAAGCAAGTGCAGTTCATTCAAAACCATATGCTTATCGCTTTGTGAACATGCATTCAATTCAGATGTTTCTGCATATTCAGCTAAATTTGCCTTAATTACAACTTCACATTTACTTTGAATTATTTTGGCTTCAGTTAGTTTCTCAGACTGCTATAAATACCTTTTAGCTACTTATTTCTTTATTACAAGATTTATTCTTTGTTTTTATGAGTTTGTTTCAACTCATAAAACTGTGTCATACACTGAATGGTCATAATTGTTTCATATTCTGTACACCATTATAAATTCCATTATTGTTTACTTTATGTGTAGGTTTATTAAATAAAATTATGTATATGTGAGTTTGTTTGTCTGACTGCATAAATTTTTTTCAAATAGACCAGGATTTATTGATCTAACACAATAACTGCAAGAAAGCGTAGCTTATATGGCATGTATGAAAATGATAGAATAAGGAAAATTCAAGCAAAGAGCATAAAACCTACCACAAGTATTTTGCAGGTCAAAGCTAATATATATCAAAATTTTCAGACTCACTTACATTAAGGCACTATGATGGTTTTAGTTTAATCTCAAATGTAAAGTTTATCTGCAGGCTTATCTTACCATTTAAGTTTAATAATGAGTAAACTACTCAGTTATGTAATGTATATATCAAGCAATATTGAACCACAATACAGTGAGAAACAATCATTTTATCTGTAGGATCTGACTATCACAAAACAATTTGATTTACTTAACCTTATATTCATTGCAGTAAGAAAAGGGAAACAGTTAATAATGACCTATGTTGCTACTGTAGCAAGAACAGGAGGACAGAAATTATGTGCCCACATTATCAAAAATAACAAGCAAATGTGACTAATATTAAACAGTCTTTATTAAGACTGAACATTCATAGATGACCCAAAATTACCAGTTTCTGTTATTGAATTATGGTTATGAATTTTAGTTATCACTGCTGAGTCAAGTCTTTCGTATCATGGAAACAAATATTAATTATACAAGGTTACCAATCTTTAATAATACAACATCAAGAGGAAATGTGCTAGCTAAAGTACTAAACTCTGTTATCACTGCAAAGAAGAACTGGATCAATCAGTGCAGTAAAAAAAAAATCATACTGAAGTAATTAATAAATGAGCTATGATTACAAACCTCACCTGTTAATATGCAAAATATATAAAAATTGGTTATCAACCTTATTTATTATTTCATTTGAGATACAAATCACGAGTAGTAAATTCAGTTATAATTGTACATACTTCTAACAAACTATAAATATTGAACTTTGGTAGTAGAGCAAAAAAAACCAAACAAAAATCACTTGATTTATATGTAAAAATGTTGCAATATTTTTATTCTATGAAATCAGGACATAATTACACACAATTACCTCTTATTTTCTCCCAAAGTAAGAGTAAAAATGTTAGAATATACACTATTACAAAAACATAAAGCCTTTTATAATTTATGTTAAAAGTCTACAAATTTCTCATAAAAAGTGAACAGAACACTGTAAAAAAAAAAAAAAAGTCAAAATATTCATATAAATCAATAAACCAAAGAAACAATAAGGGTAGAAAGTTTATAATTGGTAACTGTTATGAACCATCTGATCAGAGAAATAATTCAAATGAGAACTTATATAATAACATAAGGTTGCTACTAATAAAGATACTGATTTTAGACATACAGATTGGAATTATTTGGAGTCAAAAAGTGTGAGAAAGGGGTTTCTTGAAGTGCTTAAGGATGGTTTTTCTAAACCAAATGGTCAGACAGCCAACTAGAGGGGATACAATTTTAGATCTATTATTAAACACTAATGAGAATTAGGTTGAATGTTTTGCTACATGTTGAGATAAAAAAAGGAAATAAAAATTATAGTTTCTAATATTCAGAAAGCCAATTTTGAGGCTCATATTCAAGATTTATTAGTAATGAATTAGAATAATGAGTTAAAAGTTCTCTGGAAACTTTTTTGTAAGTAAAAAGTCTTTTAATTTAAGGTATGCATGTTCCTACAAAAAAAAAGAGAGAAAGTGGAAAAGGATAACAGGGAAGGCCAAACTTAAGTAGATTGCTGAAAATAAAAGATAAATGCTCTCAGTTTGAACCAACAGAATGAATGGAAGATTTATATATAACCACAGGAAAGCTTGGGATTGGGATAAAAAAAAATTAGGATATTCAAAAAAGGTTCATGAAAAACAACTGGCTGATAAGATTAAAATTGATAGCAAGAAGAGAACTGTCATCTTACCACTTTTATTTCACTATCACAATCTCAATTACTTAACCTTGTATTCAGTACAGTAAGGAAAGAGAAAGAGTTAATAATGACAGAGAATATGTGCCAAAGTTATGAACAATGGCAAGAACAAATTAACTAGAATTAAATCATCTTTTACTATGATGAAAACTATGAAACAGCACACATTTTAAATGTTCCTTCTGTTTCTACAAGATGTCAGCAATATCCTTGACCCTTAGTATTCTGCAAAAAATATTGGAATTGACCTCAACCTTGAAGGTAATAATCTCTTGGTTGTAAGAAGAAAAACAGAGACTAAAAACAGATAAAGCACCCGGACAAGATAACAGTAATCCCAGTATTTTAATGAAGGTCAAAGATCTGATATGTGAACCTCTCTTTTTCATTTTTGGCAAGTTACTCTATTGTAGGCAGCTGCCAGAGGATTGGAGAATTGTTAATTTCACTCTCATTTTTAAAAATGGGTGATAAGAATTTCCCTGAAAATTATAGCTGAATTAGTTTTACTTCTTTACTGGGAAAATGTACAAAGTCTGATTTAAGAAGCTTAACAAAACCACCTAGTGAAATATGATATTGTAGAAGAAAATCAATACAGATTAGCTGAAGAGAAGTCTTCCCTGCCCAATCTAATATTTTTGTTAAAGATATTATGTTACCTGGAATTGGTGTACTAAGATGTTCAAAAAGTTTTTGATGTTACATAAAAAAAATTAGCTAAGTAAATCATACTGGTGTGGATTGTAAAAAGACTAGTATATTAGATTGTATAATTGTTGGATGAAAGAAAACAAAACATTGTTATTAACAGAGTTAGAGGAGGGCTACAAGGATGATTTGGGAGTGGGGGAAGAAATGTTATCTCCTGAGCATAGGTTAAGATCTCCACCGATTTTCACTTATGAAAAGGGTAACAGGTGATCTTACTAAGGGTTAGAACATTATCCTACAGAATAATACGATAAAAGTTATTTCCTGAAGAAAAGACAACAACAAAACACAAATCTTAGATTTGGAAAAGACAGTCTAGACTCCATTTGAGACAGTTTTATTTTTTCAAGAGGGTGACTGGCTTACATAATGAGTTGCTGCCAGCAGTAGTGGAGTCCAGCATTTTACAAGAGTTTAAAAATGGGAATCAATAATTTTGTGAAACATTACACGTGGGTTTAAGTTTTTACTGTTTCTCAAGGGTGGTTGTACATCAAAATCATTGAAGGACCAAACTGTCCCCTGCTGTTCATATGTTATATTCATAAACATCACCATAAGTAGAAACAAAAAGACAAGTATTTTTACACACAAACATACTGTGAAGAAGAAATAAGATTTTCAAACATATCAGTAAACTGTAGGGAAACAGTTAAAGTTTCATATGTAAAAATAGCCACATTCTTTCCCAACTCTTTCACAAAGAATTCTAGATTTTTCTAGATAACACAAATATTGCTTGTAATTTATTTACAGAGGATAAAAAAAATCAGAACATACTTTTATGGAACTTCAGAAGAGACCTTCAAACAGGCATATTGAAACTTAATGATAGACAATACAATATTGCATTTTTATTTATAAAAGAATATTTGATCTACCCTATAATGAATGAGATGATTATCACTATAGAAAATAACACAAAGTGCCTGAGTAGGATTATGTTAAAAATACCACTAACTAGCACAATTAAGCAGCATGGTTGGCATATATACACAGATTCGAAGGTAAGAGAGGTGGGGCATAATTTTCATCGATTTTGTGGCCCCTTTTTTCAAAGCTCCTGACTTTTCCATGATTTTTCAGTTTGTGACTACTCTGTTAAGTGTATCAGCATTCAGCACATTAAAAAGAAATAATCAGATAATCATACACATCACTAAAGAGTAAACAAAACAACTATTTATTCCTACATACCAACACATTTTTCAAGAAATAATCAAATACTCATTCATACACATAAACTACTGACTAAATCATGTATACATCAGCACATTTCAAAGAAAAATTCAAACATTCATTAATACACACATAATTACAAAGTAATAAAACAGCTATTAATACACATCAGCACATTTTTAAGAAGTAGCCAAATATTTCTACACATACTAAACATTAATAAAAAAAAGCTACAAAAATACACCAACATATAGTAAAGCAGCACCCAACTATTCATACTATAAAGAAATAATCAAATACTCATATACACCAGAATTAGAAGAAACAGCCAAATATCCTGAGACATGGGAAAACTGTAAAACATAAATAAATAAATTCATATACATTAGCAAAAACCCAGTACTAAGACCTACATAATAAGACACATAAACATAAACATCAGCATAATATAAACAATAGTACTTTAACCAAATTCAATATTTTTTTAACTTCTAAAAATCATTCAAACATATTATTCAAGTAACTGTGTGGTAAGTTATAGAACAGAAAATTTTCATGTGTTACAAAATGTACAGATTACATACCACAAAACTGTCCTTTAAAAACCTCTAAAAATGATCTTGCCCATCAAGTTATTTAAATGTAGTGCATTAAGTTATCATATTCTTTTAGCTAGATATACAAAGGATTTTGTATAGGTATGTCATAACTGCTTATATATATATATATATATATATATATATATATATATTCTTATTACTTAATTAGTACTAGAGTACTACTACTAACAAACCGAACGGTAAGTAGTCTCTATAGTAGGTTACGTTACGGTTAACCCGTAACCTAAC